CTCAGTCATAAAATATAATTATAGGAAATTAAAATAAAATAAAGAATTTTAAATTTATTTTTGTTAACATGACTTTTATACAGTTTTCACATTGTTTTGTAGTTAAATCCTAAACTATTTGAAAATTGCTATAAACTGCAATCAGTTTTATTTCAACAAATTGCACTCTTTTATCATTAATTATAATTGAAAGTATTTAATGAAAATTATCACAATTTTCCGAGAGAGAGAGAGAGAGAGAGAGAGAGAGACTAATTTAATTTGCAATTCTTATTGTGTTTTGTATTGCATTTACTAATCAAAACTTAAACTCTTTTCTAAATTAAAATTAATGGACATATCATACAATATAATGGATTCAAACTTAACAATAAATGGCTATATTATGAAATACAAATCTAACATTATATTTTAAATGCATAAAAAATTTTAATCTTAATTCTCACTCTTTAATAAAGTAATTAATTTTGTTTAAATAACTTTAAATATTTAAAATTTAAATATGGTTTGCTCATTTGTGAAATAAATTATAACTAACAATAATCATAACTTTTATACGAATATCACATTCAAATATTTTAATCATATTTGTCGGACCAAACATTTTGAATGGAAATTTATGAATGCATTTATATAATCTAATTAAAAGTTTATTAAAAATTCATACTAATTAATCCATAATTTATTAGCTTAACATATACCAGTAGCATAGCATATAAATAATTTTCAAAATCTAGTTAATAAAAATCATTTCAATGTTAATGAATACGAATGCATTTCTATGAATTCACACATAAATCCTGGGCTATACTCGTATTAATAAAAGGGACAGTAGTTTTATTTGCATTAAATTTCTAATTAAAATTAAATCCCATTGTATTGGATAGGAGTGTCTCTCCAACTATTTCTATGAATTCACACATAAATCCTGGGCTATACTCGTATTAATAAAAGGGACAGTAGTTTTATTTGCATTAAATTTCTAATTAAAATTAAATCCCATTGTATTGGATAGGAGTGTCTCTCCAACTGCACTGCGAATACAGTACTAATAATAATGGGAAAGTAATCGATAAATAGCTGATAACGAGTGGACAACCAATTCAAGTGAAGTATGTGATAAGGGTTTTAGGTTATACTGTATACCATTGTATGCCATATAATAGGACTACCGGTCCCTCTATGCCCAGTAATCTCATTGATATAAACCGGAACAAAACAATAAGAAAAATTAATTTTTGTTTTTGTTTTCACTGTTATCACAACGGGTTTAATGAAATTTTTCATTATACTCTATTACATTATACTATGTATCTATGTAGATTATAATTACTTTTTAAAAGTTAAAATAAAATAAACTGCATTTATTTTACAAATTTATATTAATATTATAATCACGTAATGTGTTGCGAAATAACTGACTTTTAAATTATTAATTATGAAGTTTATTAAATATTTTATTATTTTATATACAAATTATTAAATCTCACTCTCTCTCTCTCTCTCTCTCTCTCACTCTCTCTCTCTCACTCTCTCTCTCTCTCTCTCTCTCTCTCTCTCACTCTCACTCTCACAACAGACAATTTTAATTTATAAAAATTTTATCCAAGGTTATATAATATAATAGTAATCATCCCCATTTCATGTCAAAAATATAAATAAAATGATTTTTATTAAAATACAAATAAAATGATTTTTTTTAATTAATTTAATTCACTGTTTGTATTAAATTTTTCAATCAAACATTTATCGTTATATTAAACAAAAATCATAATTCCCTCAACTCTTGTACACCGAATGGCATTACCGGGTGTTAGGGCTATATCTTTGTATCACTTCCTAATACACAGACCCAGACTACCCGATCATACATCGCACCGGCATATCTGTGTCACGTACGGCACGCAATCATATCAAGTCAAATGAAAACAGCAAAAACAACGGTTATATTGTGTGTGATTCTCATATGTAATATAGAAAATTGATACCAAAAAACAGCAAAAACATAATCTACTGCTCCCTAACACATACTGAATATTCTGTAATACAGTGTGGACTTGGAATCCATTTGTCAGCCAATTCTCGGTGTATTTAGTTAAGGTTTTTTATATGCACTTTATATGTGAAGTCCATTTCACTTAACGTTTATATATAAATACATTTATGGCCGCGACTTATGTTTGGATTATTCATTTAGGCCGAGATTTATTATGCCATAGGATTTTTTCACCAGTCAATGATAGCCAACACATATTACCGTTTAACACACATAGTGAGCCTGGTCAGATTAATAGCCTGATAACGTATAATTTATTATTAGTAAATGTAAATATTATTATATAAATGAATCTCAAGAATAAATTACAATTCTTTCCTAAAATACAACACCTTTTATATAAATTAAGCAAGGTATAATAAATGTATTTGCCACATACACATTATGGCCACCACTGAGATAAAGTAGATTTACTTTTTTTGTTGCATAACTCGTATGCCAACAGAATATGTGATTTACTGTTATACAGAAACTCACAGAATATTCTCTTACGTAAACAGAATAATCTTTAATGTATTCTCCTGTGAGAGTGAGAAAGCTATTTGAGTGACTTATAGGCTGTCCCCTAATGTCTACATAACTTCGCTAATGATTTAATCGTTTCCTAATCCTCTTCGACGCCAAACAGACAGACATTAAAAACTAAATACACTTTCGTTTAGCACTTAATTATCTCTTAATATACTTTGCTTTCCGTTCAATACATTTATTAAACAAATGACTAGAAAAGTAAGAAAATATTTTTTCTATACTTAGAGTGATTAAAATAAGATTTTAAAAATATCTTGAATAGTTATATTATATTTTATTTTATTTGTTTGTAATCTTCTAGATCATATAAATATTTTTTTTAAATTAAATTATTTGTTGTAATTTTTGATTTCAGTTTTAATAAAAATAAATTTTTAATATTTTTATTTTTAAACATAAATAAAGTTAATTTTCTAAGATATATATCTTACCCGTGACATTTGTTATTGATGATAAAATCTTATCATAAATTCTAACATTTATTTATCTAAAAAAATCATTATTTATAAATTAATTTTGATCTTAAACAACAATATCGGATAATATAATATATTATTTATGTGTATAGGTATGGATTATATTAAGTTATTAATTTATATATTATTAACAGTATCAAAAGTTTTAAACCAGTACCTTCATAAAAATAAAAACTAATTTAATCAAAAACAAGTAAAATAAATAAATTGAAAAAATCTTAATTTTTAAATATTTATTTTTTATTTCAAAGTTTATTACTTCGGTTTTATATTAAAATTCATCTGGGAATGAAATATTTGACAAATAGGTTATTACAATGATGTATTAATAAAATGATCATGTTATAGTATAACTAGCACAATTAATAGAAATGATTTGTATGAATATACATTATAATTAATTTAAAAATATACGTTAAATAAATAAACATGTTTATTATGCATAATCAGGTAAACACTTTAGTATAGCAATTGTTTGAATTAACTCAAACTATTGAATGTAAGTTAAATTTAGACCCTGTTTATCTTTCATAAAATACAGACATGTTATCACATGTTTTGATTTTATACCCGATATATCAGCGATAATTCAAATTTTTATTTATTTAGCGTATATTTAAGCCCCAAAAATATTTTTCAATTTTACATTTTGTCCCAAAAATTGTTAAATATATAAATAATAAATATATATTTATATATTGTATATTTTATACAATATTTTTATGTTGAGGTTATAGTTTCTAATCACGATTTGTACTATCATAAATAATCTACATATTTATATATTGTATAAATAGTCAACATGGTGATTATGTATATACAATTATAACTGTTTGTACGTGTTAATGGGCATGGGTAGTGGGGTGATACCTATCTGTGCGCTTGTTTCCGTATTTATTATATGATATTAACACACATTTTGACAAATTATTACTTCAGAAAACTAATAAACATTAAACTGAGAGAATATTCTGTAAAGAATATTATGAGACAAAAATATTTGCAAACATTTTATTATATAAATAAACAAACGATTCATAAAAGTCTTCAATACTTATCGCAATGTGTTAATTGTAATGCAAATAAATATGTTATAAATTACAAAAATATTTATAAATAAACGTAACGCTACAATAAACACATATTTTCATATACAGTAGCATTCAGCTAATACTACTATGGTAGTCTTATTTATTTCAATAAGCTAGCATTTTTATTTCCACTAATAAAATATATATTGATATAACCATTTGTGAACACATTTCGCAAAACAATTACATAAAATATTAATTACATGAAATCAATTGTATTCAGTAAGTATAGTATGTCATAATTGTATGATTAAATAGAAACCATTGCCTAACAAAACACAAGTTGTTGTAAATATATTCGTATAAATAACTAAACATTATAGTTAATAGTCCTTTACTGTATATACCGTATATAATTTATCTGTATGTGTTTTGGATGTAAAAGTAAAACTTATCGCCAGAATAACGTTATTACTATTCTTATCGCGAGAATAACTTATTTTATCGGTTATTACAGAATATTCTTTGGGTATCGCATTGCGTATTGTGTGTCATATGGTTCTCAGATATACTAATAATGCAAAAACTCGGAATAAGTTGCCCGTATATATACAGAATATATAATATATAACAATATATAGATTATATAAGCGTCTATAAAAGTCTATTGATATTGGTTTTATTGAATATCAGTCAATGACGTGCGGGTGTGCAGAGGTCCCAAAATCACGGATCCCGACCTCGGCTTTAGGTCTGAGCTCAATCTGCATTCAAATATTATTATGAAATTATAAACATAAAAATTTTAATAGATTTGTTTAACAAATGGGATTAATAGGTAAATATTAGTTTTTAAAATTTAATAGAATTAGTATATAGAGAATATGATAAAAAGTAGAATTTTTAAAATAAATTAAAATATACAGTATTTACAAACCTTATTGTGATCTCGATTTAGGTCGTGTCTATTTGGGCCTGGGTCGTCCTCGATCTAACATCAAGTTTTTCCGTCTGAGCCGTATCTAAATCAATGGCTGAGCCAGGTCGGCCTACGTCGGACCTCGACTTTGGCACATCAATACATTTCATAACACATTGCCGTATGCTTTGTATCGACTGTTTCGCGCCATTCCTGAACTTTTCGTTGAGCCAGCAATAGATGAATGGACTGTAAATGTAATGAGAAAACGGTTTGTCATAAATATTTATATATTAAATATTAATTTTATATAAATGCCATGGTACGCTACATATGTTATACGATGTTATTTTTTATTGTATGCAGGGTCATAAAAATATAAGTGGAAACCTAATGTCATATATTATTTTGGTGGTAATGTAGTTGTGGAGAATATTATGTATATAATCTTTTTAAATAATAACTTAATGTATTTATTTTATATAGGTAATTTTATTATTATAAATAATTGTTTTATTTTTTATTAAACCTAACCACTGATATTATATTACTTAAACCACAAAAATATTGACAATTCATAAGATTTCGAAATTCTGTTCTCAAGTGCTCTCAAGAATATTCTTGTGATATATTTGTTGTTATTTTTTGATAAGATTTATTCATAAACCTTTTTTGTGATACTGTGATAGAAATCTGTGTTCAATATATTCCACTATTTATGCTATATTCGTGTGTATACTACATATTTCTTATATGATTTATAACTGAGTGTTTGAAATGCTCTTTATATTTATAATCAATATTCAAAAGGATTCATATTATTTGAATTTTTGAATTTAATTTTGTAAATCTTGAATAATATATTTTGGAAACTTTTTTAGATGGTGTAGAAATTTAATATTAACTTTAATACTTAACATTTGAATAAAATATACTGTATTTTGTTCATAAAATTTTGAAATTCATTAATAATAATGAAATATTCTGGTATTTTTAATTTTTAAATAATTATTTGTATTTAGGTAACATACTATATTAATTTTAAAACACAAGTAGTATTAATACAAAACCTTTAGCTAGTATGTTTTTTGGCAATAAATCTTAACTTTATTATTGATAGGACTCAATAAGCCATGTAATTTAAAACTATATATATTTCGATACAAGTCTTAATACGAAAAAACTTCAATAATAAGATATAAATCAAAGCCAAAACAACAATAAAATCTCTACAAAAAATATATAAATCACTTGCCAAATAAAAATTGAGATTTTTTCACTTGAATAAAACACTGATATCTTATCGGATTTCGAAATATTGAAAAAATGACTCAAAAATATATCCAATCGTAAGTAAGTTATAGTACAAAAATAGATATCAATTTTCTAATATAGTGTCAATTACGCTAATAACATAACTTGGTAAATATCTCGAGTTTAATATTTTATTATTCAGTTTACATTATAATACTGTGAATTTTTATGTCAACATTTCTATTGTTTTACAAACCTTTACATTTTACTCATATATTATGTCTGAACATTGTGTGTGTGTGTGTGTGTGTGTGTGTGTGTTGAGAGAGAGAGAGAGAGAGAGAGAGAGAGAGAGATTTGTGACACAAAAGTGAAACAAAATACAATATTTAACTTTTAACTATATTTTGATATATAAAAGAATGTGAAAAATTCATTAATCACTCACTTGTAACAAACGGATGACATCGCAAACCAATGGCACTGTTATGTCGAAAGAGAGAAAACAAAACCGTTTTTTAGTAACAGAAAAAATATTATCTGAAAAAGTTTAGTCTCAACAAAGTGTCAGTAAATATACAATATATATAACATTATAGAAGTGAATGGTGGAAACGGATTTTTATTTTATTTTTATACTTTTTACTGTCAGATTTATGTTTTCAGTTTTACTTTTATATTCATTATTAGCACAGATTGTGATAAATTATACTATTGTTAATAAACTTTCATTTACTATACATATTGCTTTAGATTATGTGCTTTACAATACATGATACATAATAAATATTAATTAATAATATTTTTGACTATACTTATCAAATATGAAAATAATATTTGAAACTATTTCAATTCTATAGACATATAATTGATTACCAATGTAAAAATTTTATACATACAGTATATACTATCAAAAAATCATGTTGATTTAAATAATATATGTCTGGGAAATAAGCCGGGATTTTACAATCAAATCCCTAACCCATTGACAGACATCCATAAGCTATCGATGGATTTGTGAGACAGTCTACTGTCGTGTGAATTATAAAGTTTTAAAAAATATTTTCAAGATTTATTCACAAGAAAAAAATTTATTCAAATATAGTGTAAATGTTTAAGAAATGAATGCATAAAACGACTGAATAATGAAAGAGATATGGATTTTTCGAGTGCATAATAATAAGTATTAAATAAGATTTTATAAAAAACAAAAATTTATTTTATATTCAAGAGTTATTTTGATTTATTCATAGATAAGGCGAGAGAGAGAGAGAGAGAGAGAGAGAGAGAATTGAAAATCAATTTTTCAATACTATATAAAAGTCGAAAAGTTTATAAAAATAAAGTTTAGATTTTCGGTTTTATATTTGATTTATATTTACTCAATATGAACAAATGATTTTTATCAAAAATTATTTTTTTTGTTAGTTTTAGAGTTTGAAAAGTCATTTCCAAGATTCATTTCTCGCTTGTCAGTGAAAAATATATTTGATTACATTTTTGTGTTTATTTAACAAATTTTTTGACAAATATTTATCTGATTTTTTTATAATCAATCAAAATATTATTGTAAATGTACAATATATTATGTACTCAATAAATCCATGTATGTAATTATAAGTGACTTACTACACTGGTGAATTCTGATATTATGGCCACCAGAATATTAGTCTAATCACTTATAAACATATTAATTAAATATGTATATCTGTAGTGGGAATATGAAATCAACACATTGGGATATTCATTATAATCTTTTATACTACGTGCTATAGTCATAAAGCTTTAAAATGTTAAACATA